TAGATCTGCCAGGCAGCAAGTCAAAATGTATCCTGTTACATGTAACTCTGTTTCATTCACACTGTATTCTGCACATTATTAGAATCAGCCTTGTTACAAACAATTACGTACGTACTTTCTAGTTAGACTCGCAAGACTGTTTTACATTTTTGGATCTTCACAATCAGCAGATTTTGCTTTACTTGCAAAATTATCCTAATTAGAATAAAAATTTTAGTCAGATGTATTTTTTCTTTTACATAATAACAAATTAGAGGGAAGATAAGCAGAAGAAACTAGTAATAGAATAACAATATCTTTAACCTGATACATTCATATGTGCCAAGATCACAGTAATGTAAGCATTTGATGAATGAAGTCTAACAGTTGTTTGAGATTTTTGTGTCACTTGACAAGTTTTCTTTTGTAATGTAGTTGCCATTTTGTTTGTACACTACTTGCTTTTATCAATTTTCATATGATAAAAGTTGTAAATGATTACATTAATTTTGGGCTATGAAGTACCCACTACCGCTTATACTTTGTGCATTGAACAGCCCCAACCAAGTTTTTGTTTTACCTGTAAACACAGAAGATGAACATTCCAACAAAAACACATTTCTATTTTTTTCTTTTTCTTTCTTCTTTTTTTTTTTGCAGATCCACCTATTCATAAAATGTCATAAAAACATCCAACAATCAATCTTTGTCAAAATGCAATTCAAAGGCTGCTGAATCCTTCACACCCATCTCTATTAATACCCTCAGGTCAGGTCAGTGCGGTGAAAGGTCATCAGGTCACAAGTTAAGGTGAAGCTGAGGGAAGGAAGTGAGCATTTTGTCACTGATAACATTTTCCAGTTGCTGTTTAGTTTATCTGCTCATGCTGATGAAGTGTGTACATGTAGGAGAGAGAGAACAGCAACAATCTGCTTCCTCTGTGTGTTTCCAAGACATATAATCCAGCATGACGTAAGTCCAGGCAGACTGAGACGATACCCTTCTTCTCATCCAGTTGGGTATCGCATTGAGCACACGTTTGCTCTGTATATGCAAGCCACCTCTTTTCATGCTGTAACTGACTTAATCGATGTCATATCTGTTGTCACTGATGCCTGTTTTGTTCTGTGTGGGGGACTTTCTGCTACTGTCCATGGGACATACCAAGAAAGAGACACGGTGGCAGATATAAATAGAAATAGGCAATAACAATCTTCTAACACATACAGCTACATCTGTCTGAAAGTCCTGCAAAATGTATCTAAAATAAATGTTCTTGTTGTCAGACTGCATCTTCACTCTGAAGGTCAGGTTGGGTTATGTTTATCGTGTCCACCTGGAAGAACATCTAACCTCAAGCAGAAATGTCTGTTGAGAATAGTTTTCACTTGTATTGATATGTTAATGTATTTTTAAACTGTTACTTAAATTTCAAGCCATATCATGTTTTTATGCTCTAATGGCAGCTGAACTGCTAAACAGAACTGTATTTAAGGCAATAAGATGTAGAATGTGCATGGATGACTTCCAGCCAATCAGAAACTGGTATTTTCAGCAGCCGCAGCAGGCATAAATTAAAAAGTAATAACCTCTGAGAAGTGGTAGCTATGATATCACCCAGCACCCCACCCCCATGCACGCAGACAGGCTGTTAGACGATGTTTTTACCGTGACACACACTGACACACACACATACCTACACACTGCCTGCTCCAGTTTCCTGGCCCATTTAAGCGCTGACGAGGGCATAACTGTGGGTCTGGTGGGACCTCGTGCCCAGTGCCACACCTCGCCCCGTCTCGCCTCCTCCACCCCCATCCCACTCTAGAAGCACCGCTCCTCACTCCCGTGTTTGCTCTCCTCTATCTGATCCCTCAGTCCAAATAACATAAAATCATATCAGCAGATCGTTGCTGTTTTATGAAAAGCTTCTGCTGAAATTAGGAGAAATATGTGTTTTACTCAGTGATACTTCTGACATAGGACTATGTAATCCTTCAGACCGGGTTACTACAAAGTAAAATACCTACAGATACCTTCCACTTTCTTTCTCTCTCAGCCTTCATCCCGCTATTGTCTGGCCCTGCCCTTGATTCAGGATCCCCGGCCTTCTCTGTATCTAAATCCTGGCTTTGTGTTGGAGCTGAAATGCAACAATGACCATGTTAGCTGACACAGTGTTGGCTGTCTGATCTGTGCTGACAGCAAGCCCCCCCTCAACCCCACCTCTGCTTGGCTTACTGGAAATGCAGATAGCTATTGCTCATCTGCAGGGCTATGGGCTGGTTGGTTGGGTCGGCTCTATGGGGGTTACGTGGTTGGTGTGCAGGTGATGGGTTATAAAGCTCTGGGCTTTGAGTGGAGGTTTAAATGGTCTGCAGGTGTTTTCAGTTGTATTTTGTTTTTTTGGCTAATTAAAAAGATGTCAGCCCAATGCTGTGTGGTCATATCCACAGTCCAGAGCAGAGGTGTGTAGCTGCCCTGCAGGTGTGCAGGGACTGTATTATTCAAGTATCCATGAACTTCATCGGTTCACCAAAACATTTTCGTTTTTAAATTGCTCCACCTGAGCCAAGGCTGAGCATTATGCTCTCAGTGTTTTTGCTTGTCTTTGTGTGTAAGCAGAGAATTGTACAAATCACTAAAATAAATTTCTTGAAACTTGGTGAAGAGGAGGAGCATAGGCAGAGAAAACATAAACTTTGGTTGAAGACACCTTTAGCATTTCCAATTAATAATTCTACTATACAAAGTTCACTAGAGGGTGAGACCCTTTTGTTTACAAGTGAAACTAATTCACCTTCTGGGACAAAAGAAGGCTTGGCAAGAAATGTTTTTGGAGGTGGTACAGCAAGATGCCTGTTTCTACATGTTGTAAATTAAATCCAAAGTTTTCTTCACATACTTTGTTATTGCTGATTATTTGGTATGGACAGTATCCCTCCTTCTCTGCTCCTCGGGTTATTTAGCCATGCAGTTACTGAAAATGAATTCCTTTTTCATGTGAGTAAACCATGAGCATGTCTTTTTACTTTTTTACTTTTCATCTATTCACTACGTGATCCCTTTTCACATTCTTTCAGTAGCCCATGTCTTTGGACTAAACAATATTATATGGTGGCTTTGGCACAGGAAGCGGGTCATATTCTAATTGGAAGGTTGTCAGTTCGATCCCTGGCTGCTCCAGTCTTCATGGGACTGGATGTTGAACCTTGAGTTGCTCCCAATGCATTCATCGGAGTTGCTTACAAATGAATGTGTGTGAATAGGTTAATGAACATGCTGCATAAAGCACTTTGAGTGCAAAAGCGCATATCAGAACCAGTCCATTTAATATATTCACTATGAATGCTTTGGGTAGGAGCACCTTCTCTGGAGAGTTTAGCTGTGATGATCTGCATAATTATCCTACATACCGCTAAGCATTTAGGAGTGGAACCTGCAGCTATGGTTGATGAAGTTGTTTACTTTCCAGGATCAAATTCCTTTTATGCAGCTGAGTTACTTCCACTGGAGTGAGCGCCTCTCCACTTCGTTTCACCTCAGTGAGTGTGAAGTTGTTGGTTGTGTTTTGGTTTGCACGAGTGCCACCTTGGATCTCTTCTGTAAGTGGCAGCTGCCAAGTATGAGTTTGTATACACTAACATGCAAGTTCTCAGATGAGTGGGGATGTCAAGGGAAGGAAATATGGAGTGAATATGAACTTTTTTATATAATACTGTTAATGATTTATTTAGAAAATGTCAGTGTAGATGTAGATGTTTTAATGCTTCTGAAAGGAGAGGAGAAAAACATTCCCAGTGCCACTGCATTAATATTTGGACAACATCCACAGTGTTGAAGATCCTTGAATCCCAAACAGCTCAGTGGGTGTAAAGGAAAAGAGAGTTTAGCAGCAGGTAATCTTTTGGTTTCTAGATGACAGTTGAGAGGACTTTGGCTCGCCAGCTGGCATGTATAAATTCTGCAACCAGCTGGATTACTGCAAATCATCAGTGAATTCAAGGAAGCATACAGAGACATACACAAATACACAGACATACACACACGGCAATGCTCAAATTCAGGCAGGAATACACAGAGACAAGCATATATAAATACACACACAACATCCAGCTCACAACAGCAGCTGCTTCCTTGAAATACATCACACTTTCTCTAAAACAAGATCCAAGGCCTGCTGTTCCTATTTTCAGCCACTTGGGATAAAAATAGCTTCTAGGGAGAAACATCACTCACTGATAAATTCATCCTGATACTTACTGGAAGCAAAGACGAGCTGAGTTTTTATTAGAGCTGTTTTCTTGTTTATATTGGCTCAGCTGAAACACCGAAGCAACCAACAGTTGGCGTCTTGCTGGAAAGAAAATCCACCTTTCAGATGTCACACAGCAGGCGCTTACACAAACTCAATACACTTTTCTTTGGAAACAGTCCCATTTTTCTTGCATATTAAGTCATTATAACTTATTGGAAGATCAATGACTCTGGCATATTTTGTAAGTTCAGCAATGTGCAGTTGGATAGCAGATGAGTAGGAGGAGCGTTTTCAAAGTAAAAAGAGTGACCTTTGAGCTTTTGTTTTATAGCCTGTTGTCTGTGTTTCAGAAATGATATATCATTAACTCAGTATTGTTATAGGCATTATTTACATTCCTCTTTAAAACAAGTAAAGGGGTCTCTCTATAGAAGCTAAGAGTTAAGTCTGCTTATCTCCTTGGCATCATGTATTCTGCAAGCTTTAACAAGTTCTCATTTTTAGATTTAAGATGATAAAGTTCATCTTTCCAATTCTTCTCATTCACTGTCTTAATAGCTTGCAGCAGGCACTGAGAGACAGAGAAACACTCGCTGCTCCTGCAGTCTACTATGACACAAACTTTGTTATCTTCTTCTCCTCCCTCCTTTATTACTATGGTCGTTCAGCCCCACCTCCAGGTGCCCTAATATGGGGGCATATCTCTACCCTCCAGCCAATCGGGTGGCTGCATGCATCCCTCCTCGAGATGGGGCACTGGCCAGGCCTGAGCTTTCAGTGAGGGGAGCAACAGGCTGGCTGGTGACAAGGGGCAAATGTTTAAAGCAAAGAGAGGGGGAAAAGAGAAAAAAGTACCAACAACAAATTAATGACAGCAGCCGACCAACACGAAGTGAGTGTGAAAGAGTCATAAGAACAAGAGAAGAGGACGAGCCTGAGAGTGAAGCTCTGCTTCTGTTGCTGCTGCTGCTGCTGCTGCAGGTGGAGGGCCTGTCACCTTTGAGGACACGCTGAGGTTGAAAATTAAGGTAGGCTGTGTGGATGTGGTTTAATAAAGTCTGTGCTCATGCAACACTGCAGTCTGTGGATACCAGTCTGTTGCTGTGTAGGAAAATGTGCTAAAAGATGGGGAAGATTTTTGCTGGTTAGAGCAAATATGAAAGCATGTGTTCCTGATACTCTGTGTTATGGAATAGCAGCAGTGTTTTTTTTCCCTTTTTTTTGCTCTGCGTCTGTATAATTTAGCTATAAATCTGCCTGAAAACACATTGTTGTCTTTCTGAAAGGTTGGTTTAACATTTGGCAGCTCAGGAGCTGCTGAGAGCTGGGCAGAATAGTTTATGGAGCTGCCTGCAGACTCCAGTTTGCTGACATTGGAGAGCATAACAATAGTGTGCTGTTTAAATGCAAAGACAGTTTTAGTAAGACAGCTGCTGCTAGTGTTTATTCCAACATGCCAGTTGCTGGTTACAAACACTCGAGTATTCACTGAGGTTTATGGTAACTATTTGCAGCATGACATGTCGTTATGCTCCAAGTTTATAAGGGAGTTTTGTCAAGAGACCCAAGAGAAATAACACTTGAAAATTAATCAGAGCACTTATTTTAACCGTGTATCTGGCAGTGCCATTTGTTCAGCCCACATAACAGAGTGCCCTCATCATAAATAAACCACTCAACATTGTAAGTAGTTTACTGCTCTTTTAAACAACTGTCAGTAAACTACTCATGTCCCAGCAAGGTTTTTTTGTAAAAACAGCAAGTGACCAAGCTCCTGGTGTACGCACTAGTACGTCTTTATGCTGCAGAGCACGCAGTCATTTCCAGTAGTCCCTGTCTTAATGTTACACACAGTGACAGCTGCAGTGTGACGGTCACAGGATCTGTTTGGCCCCCAGGTCCAACTTCACCGCTTACCAGCCTGGTATGTACGCTGGCTTAAAGTGGGTACAGAGGTATCACAGCCAAAGCACACCCACTCTGTGATTGAAGATCACAAACAAATAAGTCCCTCTGGATTACATAATGCATGCACTGGACATTTTTAGGCGATAAAAGCTACATCTTTGACAACAACACCAAAATAGACCAGCGAAACCAGAAGGCAGATTCTTCTTTCCACCAACATTTGCACCAGCGCCCTAAAGGTTAAAGGTTAAAATGGTTTCATTTTTCCACTGGTTTAGGTGAACACATTTACTGTGTGTGGATGTGTGTGTCCACACTGAACTGAGAATAAATGACGTCAGAAATGAAATGATGGATGATGATAGCAGTTTCCTGGCGACAGATTTTGGGTGGTGGTTGCAGTTATGGGTGGGGTCAGTTTTAGACCGGCATTTAAGGGGTCAAGTGGGGTTAAGAGCTGACGGGGTAGTTCATGGGGGAGACCTCATGAGGAAACACCACTTGACGTACATGCAGGGTGAACTTCCTCTGGTGCACGCAGAGAGCTGAGAGGATGTTACAGGAAGGAAGACTCCTGTAAACAAAAGACCTGAAAGTACACTTGTTTTGCTTTGCTTTTCTTTGAGGCTTTATTTTAAACATGGTAAAATAACACAATAAAACATAAGGAAGGAGTGGGGAGAAGCACAAGGTTATTTAATCACACCCCATCTTCAATATTTAGTAACTTTACTTCCTGTTTTTTTCCTTCTCGCTCATAAATCCTTGTTTACATTCTTCTTTCTATAAATTTATTGTATAAGCCCAATAACACACCAAAAAGACGCACAGATAGAAATAGGTATGCATAGATACGCACACTTATAAATACATATACATGCACATGCATCTATATATACATAAAAAAAAATCAAAAATAGAAAATAAGTATAAATAATTGGTGAGACATCCAATCAAAACCTTTCTTTGTTCCTTCCTTCCCTGCAAAAACTACCTCTACTATTTTACGTCTTTTTAAACTGTGTCAGTTTGTTCAAATTATAAGATGCTTATAGTTTGTGTGTTTTATCCTAAGCTAACCTGAGCCGTGACTGTCTTTCACTATGTGAAAATTCAATCGTTTAAAATAAAAACAAACTTCTGTTTATAAGAGGCATTTCCTGTCCAGAGGCTAACGCCTCCGGGTGTGCCTTGTTTTGCCCATCTGATGTCTCAAAGGGGCAGGAAACACACTGGGATCTATCTCTCTCATCTTCAATGGTTTGGACATGATGCTGTTTGCTTGGTGCTTTTATCTAAAGTGGCGCACGGCGGCAACACTTCCGAAATTTGCAGTTGGAAAAGACCCGGTGGGATTCGGGGCCACCCGTGGTTTAGAGGCCACTGAGCTCCACAGTTTCTGTCTTCTTATTCAAACAGGACAGCACATAGTCACCCAATCACAGTGCATTTAAATTTACCTGTTGAAGACCATTTTCCCTTTTGGCTCCAGATTGTTGTAACGAATTACAGGTTTAAGATTCAGGTAATCAGTCTTTTTACAATCAATGTTCAATATCCAACAGGACAAAAAAAAGCTGGAGCATTTCTTGGGTGTTAAAATGCTAAATTGTACATTTTCCATATTGTTACCAGTAGCAAAGTCCACCACTGACGTATTCTGCAGACTTCCAGTGGAAAAGATATTATGTAACATTTAGACAGGCGATAAAATAGCTAAGCTGTAAACTAACCTTTATCTGTAAATTAAAACCAGTGGAGCATCTTTCCTAAAACAATGTCCTTATTAGATTGAATGATGACAAGCCTCATTATAAACACTCCAGTGTGTATTATACTGCAGGTACTAATCCAGAGTCCCTCATAAAAACACAGAGCTGCACATATCCAAGCATCAAAACTCTCTGCACGTACAAGTGCTGATATTTTAGGTGGGAAACTTTTGTTTTGAATGTGGTTGAAGTGACCCTCTCACTATAATTGTCAGGGTCCTGGGTCTCCTGACCCAGCGTTTTAGTTCTTTGTGATTTTTGTATTATTGTACTTGGTGTGAGTTTCTAGTTTCGATCCCTTGCCCTTCATGTTTCTCTATGTCCCCTCTGTTCTGTGTAAGTCTGTCTGCATGTTTGAGTTCCCCTCTGTGCCTCTCGGTTCTTAGAGTCCTCTGCCTTATGGTTTATGTCTCTGTGTTTCCTAGTTGCTGTCTCCACTGTGTCAAGTTTGCGTCTCTGTGTGATCCTTCCTGTTTTACTTTGTAGGTCCGTGTCTTATGTGAATGTGTCCTGCTTTGCTTGTCTCATCAGTTCTAATTTCCCCCAGCTGTGCCCTCCTTCTGTGTCTCATTCTCCTCGTTACTTCCCAGTGTATTTAGTCCCTGTGTTTCTCTGAGTCAGTGTTGCGTCGTACCCTCAACAAGCTGTGTGTGTTTTGCCTCCGTGTTACCAGTGTTTTGTTTCCAGCTCTAGCTCCAGTTCAGTATTTCTGCTTCAGTGTTTTAGTCCACCAGCGTTTTTGTTGTCCTTTGGTGAGTTTAGTTTAGTAAGAGGTTTTCCCAGCAATAAAGCTGCGCTTTAAGTTGAACTTCTGTGTCTGAGTCCTGCATTTTGGATCCACCACTCCTGCTTGCCTGCCTGCCACACAGCCAACCATGACAATAATCTGTTTAATACTGTTCACTGTTCACTGTTTGTTGCCAATATGTGTTTCTGGGACAGTGCTTCACTGGCTTGCGTGCAAGTTGAAATAAAATCAACGCAGTGTGGGCTTGCATGATATAGCGCTGATGTATGAGCGTCACATCACTCCCCTTTGTCTGTTTGTTGCATCACTTCTAAATTGTCATATTTTGAATTTCTGATATATTCCATTTTCACATACCATTTGTTTCAAAATGAGGAATTTACGGTGTATGCAGATGACATTCAGTATAAGCATCATAGAATAGAATAGAATTCAACTTTATTGTCATTGCACATGCACAGGTACAGGGCAACGAAATGCAGTTTGCATCCATCCAGAAGTGCTTTAGTGATATAGATATATTACAATATATATTAGCAATAGTATAGATATGTAAGTATACTACAGAAATGGGTCTATTATGGTATGTTATAATGTACACGGTATGAAGTATGTTGTGAATATTCTATAAGTATGTACAGGCTGTAGTGAGTACAAGCTATGTACAGGCTATGAACAGGATATAAATATGAAAAACTATACAGAATATGAAATAAATAACTTTACAGAAATCTGAGATATACAGCTATACAGAAATGGGAACTATGCAAGTTGTAAACAGTTGTAGGATTAAAGATTATTGAATGTACAGAATGATTATTTACACAGAGCTATGCAGTTAAGGTAAGTGAGGGTGTAGATAGTTTCTACAGAGGCTATATAAAGTGCTAGTGGTTGTGAGTGGTGGTTCAGTCCATGTTATTATTGTGTTTGAGGGTACAGTTGTCCATTGTGGGTGTGTGTATGTTCAGTCCATGAGTTTAACGTGGGTCAGATGTCAGGAGGCAGAGTTCAGGAGTCTGACAGCTGTGGGGAAGAAGCTGTTCCGGTACCTGGTGGTCTTAGTCCGGAGGCTCCTGTGGCGCCTCCCAGAGGGCAGGAGGGTGAAGAGTCCATGTGATGGGTGACTGGGGTCTCTGATGATTTTCCCAGCCCTTTTCAGACACCGCTTCCTGTAGATGTCTTTTATGGCAGGAAGTGGTGCTCCGGCGATGCGCTGGGCAGTTTTCACGACCCTCTGCAACGCCTTCCGGTCCGAGGCAGAGCAGTTCCCGTACCAGACTGTTATACAGTTGGTCAGGATGCTCTCGATGGTGCAGCGATAGAAGTTCACCAGGATGTCTGAGGACAGGTGGTTCTTCCTCAGAGTCCTCAAGAAGAAGAGGCGCTGGTGAGCCTTCTTGACCAGCTTGGAGCAGTTGGTCGTCCAGGTGAGATCCTCAGAGATGTGGACTCCCAGGAACTTGAAGCTGCTCACACGCTCCACAGCCGTCCCCTTAATGTGGATGGGTGGATGTGGGTCAGCATTCCTCCTGTAGTCCACGATGAGCTCCTTGGTCTTCTCGGTGTTAAGCAGCAGGTTGTTTGTGTCGCACCACTC